CACTATTGACATGAGGCACATCATTCAACTACCATTTGCCACACTACACATGTATTGTCTGTTGGATTCCTTCAAGATGCTTGCCCCTGCAATGCTTACAGTAGAGGTACCCCGACCCCAATGTAGGAGATCTATGAAGGCACCCATTGAATTTTCACCTCGAAGCAAAGATTATCCATGCTCGTACTTTATTGAATAGTTACCGTTATGGAAATGCATGGAGAATACCTTACGGTGAATTCCTATGGCTTTGGTTCATGAGAGATGTCGTAACTGAAAGGAGTTTTTTATTTTTATTTTTTTAGACAGTGTAATTGGAAGGAGTTATATGAGACGTTAGAGAATTATGAGTGGGTGTAAATTTCAGGATGATATTAATTTTTCCAAAGTAATTAATATGGATTCATTTTTAGCATGACATAGCTTCAAAATGAGGTCTATGCTTTATATATTAGTATAGATATATATGTTTCTTTTGGTTGATTTCATAATTTAGTTGTTCTGTTTGGTTGTTTGTACATTGAGAGGGATTAAATGATGAGTGGTGTAGATGATTTTAGTCTTCACCACTCTAATTTGGATTGTTTGAACATCAATTTTGTGACTTTGGTACAGATTGTTCAGTAAATTTGGTTTGGATGTCTTAGCTAAATAATGAATTTTTATTGTGTCATTAGAAATTGAATAAAATATTGCATTCATATTGTTCATACTTTTGAATCAGAGATAAATTTTATTAGGTCATTTGAAATTGAATAAAATGTCGCCAAGTGGTCGTGGCTTTGAATAAATTAAAAGTTGATTGTCACACAACTCACAAAAGTCTAGCACACTATTATTTGAACTAATTGGTACATGAGGCATGGATTTGGTTGATTAGTTCTGTTGGGAACCGTTGTACTGCAACGTTCAATTCCAATTTCTCCTTTACTTTGGCCATTGTTGTTATGATTATAATGGGGTGAATGGTTGCCGTTTTATACTTTGTGGGAACTTGAAAGAAACATGACCTATATGTCCTTTGTTTTTCTTGGGCTATTAGAACCTTTACTACATAAATTATGTTTTGAATTCAATTATTTGACATATCGTTTGGGTTATTCAGGTTTGACCATGACTGGAAAAAAATTGAAGATTTTGTTGGTTCAAAGACAGTGATTCAGGTGCTTATATCATCATGTTGTGAAGTCTATAATGACTTTCTTATTTTTAAATTGAAGATGTCATTATATGAATTTGTTGATTAACCGGTTAATGTAAAAATTGTTGGAATTTGATTGAGTATTAATGAAGCTCATGACTCTCTTTGAAATGTTCTGGGGTTCTTTTTATCTGTTTCTTTTTTTTTCTGTTTTCTTTTAGGTAATTGGTACACTCAATACATTGCACATTTAGTTCGCATCATCCTTACGTTAATTTGATTATTTTTTCTTCTAATCTTTATCAACTTACATGGCATCTTCTATATTCATGGAACTAAGCTTCATTGACTATCTTTATCTTTACCCTGTATTTCTTATTCCTATGCATGAGCTTAACCAATATTGACAGCGTTCCATTCAAGCTAGACAGTCAGTGATTGCGGTTTCTCTATTATACTTCATCTATTGCCTCATGCCACCATTAGTGCATTTTCTTTGTTTATTTATTTGTGTTTGGTACTTTGCACTTGTTTACCTTTACAGACCTTACAGTATTATTTATTATGTCCTTAACAACTTTGAATAGGCTGCACATGTAAGTGGTTTTATGTCATGCAATAAAACACTTCACATTAGTAATTTAGTTGTTTCTCTTTTACTATGGAGTTCACTCAGTGAATTTTAGTCTATGCTTGTGTGTTGCCTCTGGTACAGTTTAGGTGTTTCCTTGCCGTTCTGGATTTTTAATAGCTTATGTAGGTATTAGGCAACCAGTTATGGCCTGTCCCGACATAGGGTAAGACAATGGTACCTTAGCATGGTGCATGTTGTGGTAGCTTATTGTTGCACGGGTCTACTGGACAGTCTGGGCAATAAAGTAAATAGTTGCCACCATGCTGTGTTGTTCGGTTGAGGGTGGCTTTCGCATTCTAATTACAGTGTTATAGATAAGACACATTTAAGAGTAAATATCGGAGAAATGGGAAATGGTAAAAGTAATTGTAAATGTATGGAATGCAAGTGAGTGCAAGTGAGAAATATGCCCAGTGCAAACTGATTTGCAATTACTTTCTCTAATCCCCATTTATCTGGTAGTTCCACCCCACTTAAACTTCTTCTGTCCATCAACTGATTAGTTCTTAAGTGGGAAGTTTTAGTCCAAGAATCAGCATGACCAAATGATCTGAAATTGCTTTTAAATCATTTGATTTTCAGAACTTATCAAGTCCCTAAAACTTAATTATCCTCGATGAGGAACTTCATTACTTTCTTTCTTTGTGGTTGGATGTTATTGTTCTTCTCCCTGTCTTTTTTTTTTTTTTCTGTGTCATTGTTCTGTATAACCACTTATTCTTTTTGTTGCCTAACATCTGTTATTAGCTTTTGGATATTTCCAATTCCAACATCTAAAGAATGTTCATTTATGCAATTTATCAGTGCAGTCTCTTTATATATCTTGGCTAAATAATTCCATTTGCAGATCCGAAGTCGTGCCCAAAATACTTTTGAATGTCCAAAAAAATGATACTCTAGCACATGTGCCACCACCTTGACCTAAGCGCAAAGCTGCTCATCCTTACCCTCAAAAGGCACCAAAAAATGGTTTGGCCCGTGATGACGATGAAAGTACATGTGGCAGAGGATTTTATTTGAATTTTGGTCATTCTGACATGCTATTTCTTTTAAAAATTGGCAGTTTTAGCACCATTACAAGCTTTCATGGCTTATCCTACTTCGTTGAATTCCCTTGCACCTGGATATTCTCCATGGGATGACACTTCCATGCTCATACACTCTCCCTCAGGTGGAATCATGCTATCCCAGGATGAATACAATCTTCATGGAGTCGAAGGCATGCATAAGTTTTTTTATTTGTGTTATTTCTCCCTTGTTCATAGATATATGTATATTTTTTATTTGAGAGAACTTTCTTGTACTTATTATGGCATACAATGTTACTGCTTCAGCCGATATTGGATCGAAGGGGGTAGCAAGGATTAGTAACAGCGGCATTGATGGCATCAGAAGCTTGAGTAGAACAATATCAAGTTCTGAATTATCGAAGCAAGGGAAACCAGGTTCATTGTTTCATGGTAATCTTCTCAACTGTATTGATGATTGGTTTAAATTAGTCAATCTTGGTGAAGTTTTAGACTTGCAGCTCTATACTAAAGTAGCACAACTTGCTCTTTTCACAATGTTTTTCTATTTATATTATGCGCTTTAGATACTTGTTATCTAATTTGTATGTTAGTTCTCTTCTATCTTACTTGCCCTATTTGTATTGTTGTACTTGTAGTGCAACATATGTCATAGGGAACTTTTTTTTTTCAGTTCCTAATATTTGGCAATACTGGAAAATGTTACTCTGAAAGAATTTTCCATGGTGAAAACATACTGGTTCTGGATTGTTTCTCTTTGGGTTATTGGGTTAGTTTGATCTGTGAGTTTTTATCAGTATGAGTCCACTTAATCGCCTAACCAAAATTTCAATAATGATGGTTGATAGAAACTATAAAAGTTGTGAAGCAATTATATTGCTCATTTATATATCAATTATGAATTTCTTCTTCTTCCTCACCCTACTATGTTACATGGACTTGGGTGCAGGTGCATCCACTTTTTGAAAATATCCATTATTTTGGAGTATTAGCAAGCATGCCCATACCTGTTTGGTTTATGTTAACATGAGTACTGTTTGCCTGGCTGAAGTAGTACTCATTTATTCAACTACGTATAACTCATGAATAAAATAACTCATTTGTTATTCCTCTCTAACACTTATGCTTTTCAGTTAAATTTTTTTTAGGTATACCTGATTTTGCTAAAGTCTATAGCTTCATGGGAATTGTCTTTGATCCAGACACACAAGGCCATGTTCAGAAGCTCAAGGAGATGGATCCTATCAACTTTGAAATTGTGAGTAAATTCAAATTTTGCCAGCCTCGATTGTCTATTTTTCAAGCAGATGATGCCTCTTAGTCATAGGATGTGTGTTAATACAATTTATTATCAAATTAGGAGTAATTAGTGATAGCATCTGTACATAAGTGGCTATTGTCTCAAAACAAGCCAACGTGGTTGAAAAAATGACATAACTAATAAATCATCTATAAGGATGGGGTATAAAACAGGACCTGATTGATGGTTTTGGATGAAATGGGAAGATTCATTCTGGAGTATTGTTGTTGTACCTCACGTTAAATGAGGTGAAATATTTTTTAAACTAGTAGCAATGCTGTGACATAGGTTTTTGGTCAGTAAAGAAAGAGCTTGAAGAAAATGGTGTTGCTAAAATGAGAAATAGTAGCTATCACTTGTAGAGGATGGAGAAAAAATGTGTTGAAGCATCTAACATGATTTGCATTTTACCAAGTGAAACAAAACCAATGGCTGCCCATACACACTGTTGACTTAATTCAAGGACACGCACAGGACATGCTCCAAACACATATTGGACATGCTGGGACGCTTGGAACACGCTATGGATACATTGCAACACGCTAAGGACACGTTGGGGACACGTCAAGGACCATTTTTTTCAAAAAAAATTAAATTATATATATTTTTACTAAAATAGCATACTTAAGGTTGATAGATTTCATAAAATTAAATATTTGACATAAAATTAATATTAAATATTTAAAAATACTACATATAATAAATATATAAAATTAGATGTTTTGCATGTGTTCCCAACGTGTCGTGTCTTGCATTTTTCGAAAATTTACATGTCTGTGTCCGTGCTTTTTAGGGTTGAAGGTAGTAGAGAAGGCATGTCAATGTATGATTTATCTGTGAGATCCTCTAATATATGTTCAATGTTACACTTGCATTTAAAGATATGGCAAGGCCAAATGGATGAAGCAATCAGAGTTTTGAATACCATGGTGGAGAGGGGCCTTCACCCTAATGTTTTTAGCTATACCATTCTAATCAATGGATATTGCAAGAAAATGATAATTGATGAGGCCGTGCATTTCTTTCGAGAATTGCCTCGAAGGGGGTTGAAACCCGACAATGGAACTTTCAGTGCTATGTTATGGGGTTTGTTTCAAACAGGTAGATGTGGAGCTACTCAAGAACTTTTTAATGATATGCAAGCTGCAGGCATAATTTCAAATTCTCAAATTTATGCTTTCATGTTGGATGGGCTGTGCAGAAAGAAGAATATTTCCAAAGCATTGTCATTATTCCACATGATGGAAAGGAATGGTTTAGATCTTAATATTGTTATGCACAATATTCTCATTGATGCATTTTGCAAGGATAAAAAGCTTGATAATGCAAGGGCTTTTTTCAGTAACCTTTCTTCCAGGGGATTACAACCTGATGTTAAGACATACACTACGATGATACAAGGTCTTTGTGAAGAAGGCCTACTGCATGATGCCAAAGAGTTGTTTGTTAAAATGGAACAGAATGGTTGTTTGCCAAATGATGTCACTTACAACACTATTATCCAAGGATTTATTGGACAACACAAGTGCTATGAGGCATTAATACTCGTTGAGGATATGGTTCAAAGGGGTTTTTCAGCAGATGCATCCACTTTTCCCTTGATTGTAGATATACTCTCAACTAAAGGACAAAATCCTGCTCTCCAAGAAGTGATAAAGAAGTTCATGCCCAAAGATAGTCGTGGAATGCAAGATATTGAGTAAATTTCTTAACTTTTGTGCATTATGCCAAATGTTAGGTGTGTACCCAATCTTTCTCTTCCCAAACACACATTAATATGCACTATTTGGGCCTTTTTTTTTTTGGGTCCCTTAAGCTGTGAAGGTAAAACTACATTATATTGAAATGTGTAGCCTTTTATGCTCATAAAATGCCTGTTATTTGGTGAAGCTCTTTTAAATATATGTATGGATGTTGCATCTTACCTGTACCAGTATGTACTACACTAATGACAAATGCAGTATATTGACTGGTACGATATTAATGACATTGGTTATGTTTTATTATGCCTCTTCTCTTACACTAGGATGAAATTATTGGTAAAAATTAATTTGTTTGGGACTGATCTATATTAGCAAGAAGATTGATCGTGGAATTGTCCCTTGTGTAATTTCTACAGTGCTACATTAGTTGCTCTTTGCGTTAAATAGAAGAAATAGCCATTGTCTTGTTTCAGTAAATGACTCAAAGATACATAAAGCCTGCCTTCTACCAGGTTTTGAATTCTTTTTGCACTGTGCAAATCAGAAAAACCAACTTGAGAAGCATTTGACCTAAATTACTTTAGGTCTATAACATGGATACATTTTTGGTAGTCACCATTTTCAAAGTTATATCTTTAATTCTTTTCATACATCACTCTTTTTTAATGGAATGCGGATTGAGATGGATTAAAATAATTAGCGAACCCTTTTTGCAAGTGTATTTTTAAAATGATTTGTAGCTTGCTTGGTTAATTAACCCATATTTTGATGTTACCAATAAAGGACTCTTTGGAAGGAAAGATTGGTTTGCAACTAAGGGGTTTTAGTAATGTTATATGGTACTATGATAAGATTCGGTTATATATAGCTTGAATTTATTAAGCTAAGTACAAATTTGGTATTTTACCTCTTGTTTTTCACAAAAGCTGTAAGGAGCTATACAATTTTGATTATGAGCTTTAATTCATTAAAATGAAGCAAATGCAATTTATGGGAAGAAGATAAAGTACAGGCTGACCCTATTGATCAACCAAAGACAAGCTCTAAAAATCACTTCTTCCACTTTATTCTTCAAGAGATAATTGTAATGTCCTTAAAATATCCTACATTATATGTTGCACTAGAGAAAGAGGATAAGTTCAGGTATTTGTTTTCTTTCTGTGGTCTTGTAGCATGACAAATAATATTTGCTACTTGTGCAAGAACATAACAAAATATATATATATATATATATATATAAAGTAATGACATTTTGATTGTAGACATACTAGAGTCATATCTAATAATAAAACCACCTTCTTTTTTTTTGAAATTTTTTATTTTTATTTTTAGTTTTTTCCCTGTAGAGATTGTAACCAAGTTCTAGTCTATAATATTTGCTTAAACTGATGTAGATTCCTAATGAATTTGTTATTGAAGTGAGACCTTGGCATGTTAAGCCAACTCTACAGCCAAGTGTGCACTCCAGAAAACTAACTTTAATATGTTTTAATTGGAATGATGCACAAAACTACTTGTCAACGGGAAAACTAACTTTAATATGTTTTATTGATACTGAAAATCCTACGTGATTTGTGATTAGATCAAGATTAACTTATTCCAAATCCCAATTAATTCAAAACACTCAACCTAAAATCATCAAACACTTACGAGAGTGATTTTAGTTTGTTTGTTTTTGAGAATAAACAATAAATCGACACAAACGATTTTTTACGTAACTTTAATATGTTTTTTTGATACATACCATACTAATACAAAAAAGGTAAACTAACTGGTGGTGTATAATATTAACCACATTGGTTGGGTTTTATTATACCTTTTCTCTTATACTAGGATAAACTTAATAAATTGGTAAAAATTAAGGGGGATTGACCAAGAAATCCCATTTTGTGATCTTGTTATCCATGTAGTCCTAAATGTTTTCTTATAGATTGTGTAGTCCTTTTGCCTAATTATGGACTGTTTTGCCATTGGTTGTTTTTTTTGAGACGTATTGAGTGTTCATTTATAGGAATACGGGTGTGTGTGTTTCACGTTAATTCAAAAAGTACAGTAGTATGATTTTTGTTTTTGTGTGACATGCCCAAAATGTGGGATGCAGAAACGTCATCAACAAGTGACGTCACAGCGTGACCCACCCAACCAACCCAGATTGACGACCCCAATTGTGAAGAAGAATAATGATTGAACCCGTGGGTTTGTGGGTTGTCACGCACAACCTCGAAACAGGGGATCCATATTGGGTGGTACATCCCTAAATTGGAAACAAATTCCGTTTGAGGAAGTCGGAAAAAACCATAGATGTGTTCGACTATCATATGTGGTGTTTGAAATTTGAAAAATACTACGATTGCATCCCACGTTTGTGATTCAAAAAATACTGTGATTGCATCCCACGTTGCAAGCAGCATTCCATGAGTTGTGTTTAAACAAATTTGTGATTCGAAACATGACGATTGCGTTTAACTCAACCCAAAAACCAACAGTCAAAAAGTGTTTTTGCTTAAATAGACTGAGTGGAATTTGTATGCTTGGCATAACTAGCCATACAAAAATTCTTCAGAAGAGCTCTTTTGAATCTTAACAAGATGCCCACGAGAGAGATGAGTTCTCAGTCACAACAAAAACCATCGAGCCCATGTCCTCATGCAGTGTGCATACCATGCCCAACACAAGGCCACATCAACCCAATGCTAAAACTAGCAAAGCTCCTGCACCATAAGGGCTTCCACACCACCTTCGTCAACACCAAATTCAATCACCGCCCCCTCCTCAAATCTTAGGGCCACCACTCCCTCTCCGATACCTCCTCCTTCCGTTTCGAAACCATTCCTGACGGCCTCCATTTTGCACAACTTCTTAGATCCCTTCAGAGTCCTACTTGCCAAACTCAACCCTCCGAAGACTTGCGTGCGTAGTTTCAGATGTTGTAATGGGGTTCACTTTGAAAGAAGCTCAAGAACTGGGCAGCATCCCTGATGTTTTTTCAACACTTCCAGTGCTAGTGGCCTCATGGCCTATATGCAACATCCCAAACTCATGGAAAAGGGTCTTACTCCACTCCAACTACTATTTATTTCTTTGAAATTTGGAAAATACTGTGATTGCATCCCACGTTGCAAGCAACATTCGACACCCAGACCTTACATTAGTCACATGTGTTCGCCACTCCGAACGATGTAACAACTCAATGTAAATATATATGCCATAAGCAACGGTTGTTCAATGTTCATGAGAGTGGTAATGCGTTCCGTACCTGAGCGCTGTCGGGAGCCTTCACGTTGGCTGGAACAACTCTCGTCCTCCACACACAATAGTCTGAACCACACAACCCTACCCCCTCACTGCAAAATCTTTGTGTACTAATTCTCCTCCGTCCCAAAAACGTGGGATTACAGATTCAAAATATAATCAAAACATCCCAACAAACGTGCGAGGATATTTTTGGCAGACAAACACCATCAACATTTAAAAAAGGACCTGTTGGTAACAAATCCCACATATGGACGACTTTAGAATCAAATAGTAATTACGTGGGACCAAATGGATCACATGTTCCTATAGTGGGACTTTCTAATAAATTTCCCAAAAATTAAATGGTTGGAGAATGATCATCATGTTTACATGAAAAACCAAAGTTAAAATATTAACCACCAGAATGCTCATGGAATTATTCCTTGTGTAAATCCTCGAGTGTTGTAATATTAGTTGCTCTTTGCAAGAAATAGAAGACAAAGCCATTGCCTTGTTTCAGTAAATGACTCGACGAGGCATAAAGCCTAGCTTTTGCCACCTTTAACACGTGGCCATTTGAAAGGCTTATATGCATTTCTTCTCAATGCTCATGATCACTATATTTAGGAATAAGATATTTAGGATTTTTTAGGACAGCGTCAAATCCTACGAATCTAAAAGGGAGAGGCTTAAGCCCTTATATACACATGGGCTTTTGCTTCTCTTTCATTTATTCGGGACTTGTTGGAAACTCTCTTAGCAAAATGCTACTCACATGTTTTGGATTCTTATGGGCTCGTTGCTACCTCTCTTAGCAGAATTGTAATTCACATGTTGCAGATTCTTGTAGATTCTTGTGCAGGGGACTGAAGTTTTATATTAGTAGGCATTTCCTTGGGAATTTGAGACAAATGACCACCAGTAACCTCTGTAGACATTGCTTTAGTAGTTCAATGGGCATCAAATAGTTCTCCAGGCCAAATTCATTGGCCCTTAAATGTCTCTGGAATATTAGCATGATGTGTTAGAGGAGACACAATTGCTGTACTAGTAAGTTGGATTGGTTACAATAATGGTTGTTAAGCTCTTTCTCTCATTTGAATTTCAAATTTCAAACACACCTTCTCCCAGTCTCACTCTTTGCTTCTCTCACACACTTCTTCCTTCATTCTCTTTTATGGTTCAATAATCAAAAGGTTTTGGATTAGACTCAGTTGGTTCATCGCTTTCAAACCCTCCAATCTCTTGCCCATTTCACTCTCTCTAATTGCTTTCAACAGCTAACCACGTGTCAACAACCACTCGAATCCGTTGATTTGAAGCCCCAAATTTTCAATCTACCACTGCTAATCAACCACCACCAATCTCATCACACCCAAAACCCATCATTTTTCTTACTGGAGCGCCACCTCGCTCCACCATAGATTTCTTACAATTTTGTAGAATCCCTTGGTTCTTTAGTTCGTATAATGGTGAAGCTGGGTCAAGATAGAGGTCGCAAATCGAAGTCGAAGTTTGAATTCAAGGTCATAGTTACGGATTTCTTCTGAATTAGTTTCTGATATTTAATTTTTGTTTCTTCCTTCAGGTCAATAATTTTTGGTTTTTGCTATCATTGTTTGTACTTTGCAAGTATAAAAACCCATCATTGTTTGATTCTTTTAGCTTAAGTCATAGAGGAACAACATCCATAGAGTAAGCGCACCTATTTTTGATGCTATTTATTGATTCTTTTGCTCATTCTCCCTTGTTTTTGCTTCCA